ATGATCATAAAACTAGATATTTTCTTAGTTAAAATATAATGAAGAGTAGACATTGTAACAAATGCAGTTCTAACTGTAATCATAAATCATAGTCACAATTATAATGGTAAATATTGTTAATAAGAAAGGAAAGTGGAGGAAAGAAAAGAAAGCACACAAAGAAAATACACCAAAATTGCTAAGCAGAAAGCTTTCCGATGAGCCCAAATTTCAAATGAATATTCACAAAACATAGTAGAGAAGCATATAATAATGTATGAATATATATTAGAAAAATAAGAGCAGTGATTAATATTATCTGCATTGGATTGTTTTTCTATCTTAAGATCTGTGATGTACTAGAAGTTCCCCAAAATGCTGGAGGAAAAATGTGACACCTCTTCTTCTTAAATTATGAGTAGAATAAGGAGAGATATAGACTCTGAGTATATGGGATAGATAGATGTCAAGAAGAAAATGGATATTCTCAAGAAAAATTGTTCTTTGTTTCTCCCATCTTTAAAACTGTAGAGGATAAAGGAGGAATTGACCAAGATAGATTGGGAAATAGTGGAAGAAAACCTAACTGCCATAAGTCTTAGGCTTTAGATGTTTCACTGGGACTCTAAATGTGCAAATTAAATGTCAGAACCATTGTGGCTTATCTGTGGAAAATAATACAGAAAGATTACAAGGAAATTTTGAGAAAGGCAAATGTCTGGATTTTCCCAGCTAGGAAAATTCTACAAACAGCAGCCCTGCAAACTTGACATTGATTCCTAGAAAATTCTAACATGGTTTGTTAAAAGTGATTTAAGATAAATTAATAAAGGTTTATAATAATACAATTAAAAAGAAATAGAATAAATCATTACAAACCCTTGTCAAAATTTCAGTTTTACAGTTGTGGAGGCCTGACAGGGATGGGAGGGAGGGGGATCAGAGATTAGTGAATGGATGATAAGGTAAAGGGACAGGAAGAGTAGAGCAAGGTTTCAAAAGGACACTGTAAATAATGGCATTGTAGAATTTATTTATTTTTTTTGTGTGTGTGAGTGTACCGTCAAATCAGATCTGACTGGTACAGGAGGAGATTGTCCCTCCTTCCTCGGCAGAGCATCTGGTGGATTCGAACCATGCGCCTCTGGGATTGTAGTTGCAGCTCCTTGCCACTAGGCCACCAGAGCTCCCCAGCATTGTAGAATTGTAACTCATGTTCTAGAACGAGACATCCATGAGTGACTGAAATAAAACCAGTAAAAGAAGAAACAAGTCTATCCTGGGAAACGAAGAAAAGAAATTCAGTTTGAGAACAGGCCTATCCTCATAATGGGTGGTACATAACAAGAAAATTATTGAATGGATGCTTAATAGCTCTTAAAGTATTATACTTAGCAAGATTACATTTGCTGTCTTTGAAAGAGGATGTGACCGTTGGATGGCCAAAGCGATGTACTGCTATCAGGTCCATTTTATGTCATATGAACCTTGTAGGACAGAATGGAGCTCCACAACATTCCCAGGGTTCTACTCTTTATGAAAATAGATTGCCACATCTTCTCCTATAGAGTGGTTGGTGGTTTTGAACTACTGACCTTTCATTTAGCCGGTGAACACTTTAACCACTGTGCCACCAGGGCTCTTTCTACAGATAATGATATTGAATAGATGCCAAATAGCCAAAGTCATTTGCTTCATATCAGAAAATGGAGTTTTAACGCTGTGATGAATTTTGTTCTCACCTAAAAAACATTTTAAATGAAGATGATGAAAAAAGACATCAAAGACATGAAATTTATTGAAAAAGAATATCTAGAGAGCTGGACAGTGACTAGGGATGATAGAAGGAGAGTTGATGCCTTTGAGCTGTAGTGCTGAAGAAGAGTACTGAACATACCATGGACGGCTAGGAGAACAAACAAGTTTGTCCTGGAGAGGGTGATGACAGGCTGCTCCTTGGAGGCAAGGATTCTGAGGCTTCGTCTGACATACTTGATACGTGCTGCAAGGCGGGATCAGTCCTTGGAGAGGGAAATCATGCTTGAGAGGGTGGAGGAAAAGTGCAGGAGAGGAAGACCTTTCATAAGATGGATTGATTCAGTTACTGGGGTAATGGAGATAGGCATGTCGGAGACAGTTAAGATCGGCAATGAATAGAGCAGGGTTTAGGGATGTTGAACATAGGGTCACTAAGAGTCACAGGTGACTTGACAACACATAACAACAGCAACAAGAGATAATTAGAATAAAAATTTAGGATAATTCCAACATGCCAGGACTGTGGGTTAAAATTCACAAGAGAAAAGTCTGAAAATAAGAAGTTTATGTTCTATGTTTTCACAGCTGATATTGAGCTTCTCCAGCGGTTTTTTCCACAGATGTAATCGATCTGATTCCTATGCATACCATCAGGTGAAATCCATGTGTATAATCTACATTTATGTCTCTTAAAAGAATGTATT